CCCGCTGACGGGCCACGCGAGGCCGGGCACCCGCCCAGCTGCACACGCAGCCCCGCCAGACCGCTTACGGTCAGCCCCTTCGCAGCCCACGCCAGCCACGACGGGCCATACGCTGCTAACGCCCCCGGCCCCCGCTTTCAACGTTGGTGCCGCTGGCCTCGTCCCTGGGCCCGATCCCCCAGCGGACGGCAGCAGCAGCAGCAGCAGCAGACGCGGGCCTTCCCCGCACAGTCAGGAGGGGTGGTTTGGCCATGATGGGATCAGTTCGTTTCACCCTAGCGGCGGCCCGTTTGCCCCTGACAGTGACGGAGCGGATGGCGAAGAGCGTGAGCGTAACGTGTGCATCATGCCGAGTGGCAGCCACAGGCCAGCCCCCCAGCGGCCACTGGGCAAGAGATGGAGAACGCCTTCCCGTCCGCATGTGACGAATGGCACCAGGGGCGTCCACAGTGAATGGGCCAGTCTGCTGGCTTCGCTTCGCGCTCTCCAGGACCCTTGCCGCCGTGGGCCCAGTCTCCCCGGCTCCTGGCGCCGTCCCTGGTCCGGCGCGCGCCTGCTCAACGCGGCTTCCCCCCCTCCGTTTGCGGTTCCCTCCCGGGTCGTTCCCGCCTGCTCGCCCGCCGCCCCTGTTTTGGCCCGCTGTCTGACCCAGCGCTGCCGGGCGCCCGCGCTGGCCCCCATCTGGTTCCTCGCTGCCTCGGGCGCGGACCTGCACGTCCCTGGCGCTGTTTCCGGTGTGGTCTGCCAGCATACTGAATCTGGGCCCCCCGTGGCCGCGCCTCAGCTGTCGGTGGCTGGGTTCACATGCTCCAGCCCCCCCCCCCGGACGCCGCTCATCACCCCGCATGCCGCGCCCGCGCCCCGCCTGCTGCCGCGGGCGTGGGCTTGCCCGCCATCGGCGGAGCCGGGTGCCGTCGCGGCCCCGCGCCGCGGCCCAGGGCGCCGGCTCACCCCAGCGGCGCCCGCGCGCCTCTGGCTTGGCATGCCCTCCTGGGTGGCACTCGAAGGTGCTCGCCTGGCCGCCGCCCCAGCTGGCCTCTAGGCTCTAGGCCTCCTGCAGCGTCGCCCCGCCGTTTGGACGCGGTCTCGCTCCCCCGCGCTGCTGCGCGCCTGCGCTTCGCCTGCTGCCCTGGGCGCGGACCTGCCCGCTCACGGCGCGGTCGGGCGTCTCTGGGCCCTCTGGCATCGCCTTGATTTGTTCAGCACTGACCCTAGCACAGCCCGCGTTCCCAGCCAGGCTCACCCCAGCGGTACTCCACTTCAGCGGTGCGGTCGCCCCCCTGGCTTGGCTCGATCTCCTAGGATGACCCTCGGCGGTGATTACCTTGCTCACATCCCAGCTTCTGCGGTCTTGCGGGGGCGGATCTGCCCGCCTGCTTCTCCGCTCGTCGCTAACGCCGCAGCGCTCGTCCGCGCTCCCTGGGATGTCCCTCTGCGGTGATCGCCTCGCCGCCGCCCTCGCCCCCCTGTCCTCGGGGCCCTGTTGGAGCTTCGGTTGCTGGCTGTTCGCCTGCGTCGGCTCTTGCCCTTTTTGCCGCCCGCCTGCCCTTGCCCCGCCCCCTCGCCTCCGATGTCGGTTCCGACGCCGTGCCCCGCCTGGGCTCATGCCCCCATCCTGACGCCGCCGTCGACGCCTCTCCCGTCGACGGTTCCGAGACGCCGTTCCCTCCCCCGGCCAGCGTTCGCATCCCGACGCTGCCCCCGGCCATCGCCCCCTTTGGTTCCGACTCAGGCCCCCCTCGAGGCTAAAGCCGCCAGCGCCCCTGCCCCGACGCTGCCTGCGATGCCGCCCCTGGTGGGGTGGCGGTTCCGTCGCCGCTCCCTTGCTGGGCCGACGCCCCCATCCCGACGCCGCCTTCGACCGCGCTCCCGACGGCGGGTCCGACGCCGCCCCGTCCCCGCTCCGTGTTGACCCATATCTGTACAGGCTTCCTGCTCTGCTCGGCCAAGGGATGTCCGGCGGTCGCCCCCATCCTGGCGCTGCCTACGCCGCCATCCTCGGAGGCGCTGCCGACGCCGTGCCCCCCCTTGTGCCGACGCCTCCCTCCCGACCCTGCCCCCGACGCTGCCCGTGCCGGCACCCCCGACGCCGCCCCCTCCCTGAGATGCCGCCCCCACTTTGACGCCGACGCCGCCCCCGACGATGCCTCCGACGGCTCTGCCTCGCTCCCCTGCCCGAGCAGCAGCCCACGCCCGGGCTGACGCCGCCCTTGGCGGCTCCGTCGACGGCGGGCCCCGCGCCGGCTGGAGTCGAGGGACGCTTTTTTCGCTCCCGTTGGCCGGCACGCGCGGACTCCCAGGCCGGGGCCTCCTCTCCCGGCCCCCGGCCGCCCGCCCCGGATCAGCGTGCCCTCCGCGCGGTCCCCGTCCCTGCCAGCCCGACGGAGTGGCGCCACCCGCTGGGCCGCCAGCCCTGGCCAGCCAGTCGCGTGCAGCTCGGCACCAGGATGCAGGAGGCCTCCACTGGTGGGGCGCGGCGCCCCCCCCGATCCGCGGGCGTCGCGGGAGCAGTGGAGAGCAGCGGGAGGTGCGAGGTGGGTGTGCCAGCGAGGCTCGTGCCGAGCGAGGTCCGCTGGGGGAGGGTGTGGCGCCACGAAGTGGGCGTCCAAGTTGGCCCGCTGAGCTGGGCTCGCCCGCCTTCCTTTTCCCCCTGCCTTTGCGTTGTGCGTCCTTCCTTCTCCTGGGCTGGCTCCTCCCTTCGTTCGTGTGCCCTGCCCTCGCTGTGTGTGGTGCCCTCTTTCTTCCCTTCGGCTCCCCCTCCTTCGGTCGGCCCGTGTGCCTCGCGCCCGCCCGCCTCCTCCCTCGACTGTCCGCTGTCTCTCCTCGCTCCTCGCTTCTCCCCCTTGTCTGCTTGGTCCTCCTTTCCCTTGTCTTGCTGGCCCTCGATCGTCCGAATTCTGCCTGGCTCTGGCCTCTGATCGTGCGAGTGCCTCGGCCGCCGCCCCGGCCGCCGCCAGCGAGGGGCCGACTGCTCACCCGCCTGGACCCGGCGTGCGTGGGTTGACGGCCTGGCGAGTCGCTTGCCCAGTGACGCTCGATTGTGTGTGTGTGTGTGCGTGTGTGTGTGTGTGTGTGTGTGTGTGTGTGTGTGTGTGTGTGTCTGTGTGTGTGTGTGTGTGTGTGTGTGTGCGTTCCCTTCGTGGTGCTCCTCTTCTTCCTGGGCGTCGACCTGGTCAAGTGGCACGTCCTCCCCTGCAGCGCTTGAGGCTGGTGTTCGCGATGCGCCGTCGACGGCAACACCTTCTCCTGCACCCTCCAGGACTTCGCCCCCGGTACCAGTCCGCGGCGCACCTGCTCCTGCACATCCACTTCGGCACCGCCTGCACCCCTGGGCTTCGCCCACTCCGGCCGCCTGAGGCCCCGCCTTCCTGTGCCCTGTCTCCCTGATTAAAGCTGTGCGTAGCCCGCCTAGCTTAGCTTTCAGCGGAAAAGGTTCGCTCTCGCCCCGCAGATCAAAAAGTGTGTGTGTGTGTGTGTGTGTGTGTGTGTGTGTGTGTGTGTGTGTGTGTGTTCGTGTGCTGCACATTGGCTTGTCAGGGTCTCCCTAGTCCGTCTTCGGCACCTTTTCATCCGCACACCACGCGGGCGCAATCAGCTTGAGCGAGCCATTCCGTGCTCTCGCGATATGTGTGTTTGTGGGTGGCGCACAAGTTTCGATCCAGTGGGCTGGGGCCCCTGGCCTCCTCGTGGGCCCCTTGTCGTGCACAGTTTGATTCCGCCAGAGGCGGATTTTTTCCGATGCGGCAAGCCGTGGGCCCTGGCTCCACTGTCGCTTCGTCGTTCAAGGTGAGACCTCACAGGGTGGGGGCCTCGTGGAGCCAGGGTGGGATCTCACAAACACCATTTCTCGATTTGATGGCCGCAGCCAATGGTCCTTTGATCACATGGTATTTTTCGTTTCAACAAAGTACGTTCTAAAAAAACACAAACATTAATCAATAAGACACCAATGTAGTTTTTGAAAACAACTGAAAAAGGTTTGAAGTCATTGTCGTAAGCAAGCCTGCCACCCATCACGCCAGCCCCCCATTTGCCTTTTTTTTTTTTGCGGACTTGGACTTCAGCATGGGGTGGAGGCATTTTTCGGTTCGGTGGGCCGTGGCCAGTGGCTGCGTGGCACTGTTGTGTTGAAGCGACGATCTACATACATATATACTGCCCCTATCCAGGCCCGTCCAGGGTTCAGGGGCGGTATATTTACACGCCTCGTTGGCCAAGCCAGGCGTGCACACCGCTCTTGGTTCCAGGATGGGCATTGACAAGGGCAGTGGACATGTATAGGTTACGTATGGTGGGGATTTTCTGGATGTGGGTGTGTCGCTTCAGTGTTGTGTCGTAAACGTGAGTGCTTGGTGGTGCCTTGGGCCAGTGGGTGTTTACGGAGTGCCTGCAGGGGAGAATGATCGGCTCCACTCCAGAATGTCCGCCCTCCCCCTCGAACTTAGCGACGGGCGGAAGGTCCCGATTCCGCCGCAATGGAATCACTTGACAGCGTGCCCTCGGCCCACAAAAGCATTTCCTTCCCGTTCGGACTGCCATCGGAACGCGGAGGAGGGGGTTCTGAGGGGAGTAGAGGCGATGGGAGAGGCCGGCGGTGCCCCAGACCTCCAGCTTTTCGATTTTTTCCTGAGGTGGGGGCCCCAGGTACGGGTCCGAAACACATGCACCCCCCCCCCCTCACCCCCTCCCTCTCCCAGGAAAGGAGAGGAAGAAGAGGGCAGAGGAGGGAGGAGGCATCGACGTGGTGGTGGTGTATACTCTTGGGACCCGCACCAGGGTCTCTCGACCCCTTCCCCGTGTTCACGCTTCCATCCCAGATCGTCCCCTCACGGCCCTGGGGCCCCCGAGGGGGGCCCTCCAGAGGCCCGTCTCGGGTCTGCAGGCAGCCTGCACTGCTCCTCCCCAGAAACCCTGCACGCCCAGCGCGCCTGTGCACACCTCCTGGGGGCAGCCTCTGCTCTCGCCGCCCCCGCCCCGCCCCGCCCACAGGCGAGGGGCCCATGGCTGGATTCGGCGGTCGCCGCCCGCCGCCCCCCCCCTCCTCCTCCTCCTCCTCCTCCTCCTCCTCCTCCTCCTCCTCCTCCTCCTCCTCCTCCTCCTCCTCCTCCTCCGTCTGCTCCTTTGTCTGCGGCCGTGGCGCGCGTGCTCCCTCCGGCCAGCCCGAAAGCAGCCTCGGGTACGGGGTGCGGCGCCCGGCGCTTCCCTGCGCCCCGTGCCCGGAAGAGGCGGGCCGCAGTCGGCTGCAGGCGCGGGACGCCCAGGCCGAGCGAGGAAGATCAGGGTCTCTACTGCCGGCAGCGAGCGAGGGGGGGAAGTTCGGGCGTTCGGTAATGGGGGGGGGGGGTGGCGATAAATGTGGGGGCGTGCGTCGAGGCTTGCACGAGAGGGGCCCTGAAGGGGCCCCAAACGAGCCCCCTAGGGCCCCGAAGGGGTACGAGAGGTACACGAAAGGTGCACCTTTCTTTCCCCCCCATCTGTGGCCCCCCCAGTAGTGAGCGCCCGAGAAGCGAGACGGAGCAGGCCTTCTCAGAAGGTGGCGGGGCTTCTTGGCAGCCCTCGCCCCCTCGGAGAAGCTCTTGCGCCTCTTCGGGGGAGGCCTCGAGGAACTTGTCCTCGGGAAGCCCCGAGGCCCGAGGCACCTCCGGGCCCTCTGGGAAGGCCTCCTCCTCCTCGCTCCCCCCGCCGCTCGCCGCCGACCCCTTGGGTGGCTGCCGACCACGCCGTGCCGTTGCACGGCCCCGGTCGCAGACCCGAAGCAGCAGGCCCACTGCCGGATTCGGCCTGGACCCGAGGGAGGACAGACCGCCCCGACGCCCATGGCTGGCGTTGGCTCGCGGCCCCCGGCGTTTGCGAAGCGGCCCTGCCCTGCCCGCGTCCTCCCCTGGGTGCGCTCGCCGAGCGGCTTCGCTCGCCGGGGTGCCGCTGCTGAGGGTGGTCCTGCTGCTCTCTGCGAGTGCGGCTCGTGCACCCCTCAGTGGGGGGGGGGCGTCCTCCACGGCCGCTCCCCGCACTCTGTGGCTCGCGCGCCGCCCCCTTCCGAGCTGCCCGCCGACGGGTCTGGGGCCCCCGCCGACGGGTTTGAGGCCCCCGGGGCCTCGTGGCAGGCTCGGCCTCGCGCAGGGGGGTAGAGGGAGGGGGGAAGGCTTCTCAGAGGCACCCCTGCTTCTTAGAAGGCGCGGGCCTCGTAGGCGCGGGCCTTGTCTGTTGGTGCAAGGCCCGCGCTTTCTAAGAAGCAGGGGTGCTTCTAAGAAGTCTTTCCCCCTCCCGCCGCTGGTCCGCGCGGGGGGGGAGGCTCTCCTCAGGAGTGGGTGAAGGGCGTACGCGTGCATGAGTCCATGCTGGTTTCGAAAGTGCGCAGTGCGCGAACCTTCGTATCACGAGGCTGGTCTCGCGGACGGGGGGGCCGTATTCATGTGCGCGACTGGGCGAGTGCGTCCTTGATTGGGCTCCCAAGCTCTCTCTTGTCCGCCCTGTTTTCGTTTTTCCTCACCTAGCGCGTTCCACTGCTCGCAGAGTGCCTGCTTGCAAACGTCCCGCAACAGATTGTTTGCAAGGGTGCAACGGGGTCCGCTTGCCTCGATGCAGTGGATCCAGGCCGCTTGCGAGTAGCTACTTTGCGAGACGTGGAAAGCGCTGCCTGGGGATTCTGGGCTGGGCGGTCGAGTCGCTAATTGGCGCGGATCTCGCAGTCCGTTCCGAAAAAACGCTGCCACGACACGGCGTTGTCGCCTTGTCCCTCTTTCTCCCCCTCCCTCTCGCTCTCCCTATCTCTCGCTTTCCCTTTTCCTCTCCGCGACACTCTCCCCCTCCCTCTTGCTCTTCCTTGCCTTCGAATCGGGTCACTTGAGCATGCGCAGTGCTATGTTATTTAGACAATGCTTAGTTTTATGTGTGTTGCTCTGCAAAGCTTAACATGTCTTATGGTATGTATCGTTTTCATTGGCTCCGTGGTAGAGCCTTGTCCCGGCGGTGCATATAAATCACTAGTGAATGCTTCTGTAGCGATGTCGTGCAAAAAGCATGTTGTTCGTACCAGGCTCCCTACAGACAGGACAACCAAGCACATCGCACTGGATTCGGAGTCTATCAGGTGATTTTCGTATGCCTTGCATATGCTCGCTTGTCGGGTGGGGACACGCCAACGCTGATGCTGTTTCAGTTGGTCCTGTCTGGATGGGATGGTCATGAGGAGCTGCAGTCGGGGGGTGCAAAAGAGCTGCTCTCTGCTCCGACTTGCTTGTGCTGTTTTGTTCTTTCCGGTTCCCTTGTGAGGCTTCGCCCAAGGGATTCTCACATGTTAGTGAAGAGAATCGGTGTGTGGGGGGCCTCGCCGGCCAACGTTCTCCGGGTTTCTTGGTCTTGGTTCCTTGGTTCCTTGGTCTTGGTTCCTTTGCTGCCTTCCTCTGGTTCCTTGGTCTTGGTTCCTTGGTTCCGTGGTCTTGGTTCCTTGCTTCTAGGGAGCCCACAAAGGACGTACGCGCCCAGCTATGTACATGAACACGGCCCCTTCACCCGCGAGACCGGCCGCGTGATACGAACATTCGCGCAATGCGAGATCTCGAAAACAGCGTGGATTCATGTACGTGTACGTCCTTCTTTCGCTCCTGAGCTTCCTTGGTTCCTTGCTTCCTTGGTTCCTTGGTCTTGGCTTCCTGGTTCCTCGGTCTTGTTTCCATGGTCTCTTGGTTCCTCGGTCTTGGCTCTTTGCTGCCGTTTCGGGCTCCTTGTTCTTGGTCTCTTACTTCTTTGGTTCCGTGGTCTTGGTTTATTTGTTTTCCGGTTTTTGGTCCCTTGGTTCCTAGGTCTTGGCTTCTTGTTGCCTAGCCACGCACTGCCAAGCAACGCCTAGCAACGCCAAGCAATGCCTAGCAATACAAAACAACAAGCAATCCAAAGCAATCCGATGCAAGGCCAAGCACCCTGCCACGAAATGCCACGCGATGTCATGAAATGCCGCGCTGTCAAGCAATGCCAAGCAAAGGCGTGCGACTTGCACATGCAGTAGGAAACTTTCCCTCATCGGGGTCGCGCCCAGTTCATGGTTGTTCCGCCACCGCTGCCCCAACTTCCCTCCGGCTTACGCTCGTGCCCGAGCTGCATGGCCTGCTGTGGTCACAGTTGTTAGCCGCACTCGGGCAAACGTGGCAAGCAATGCATTCTCCGTGGCCGTCTGACGTGCTCGCCCCGCCCACGCCAAAGCCACCACTCTCGTAGCCACAAGGGCTTCAGCGTGTCAGCGCGCCCGCTGTTCCGAAACAGGGCGCCGCTTGTGTGCCCGTTTTCTCGAAGAAGGCACCGCTTGTAAGTGGTGCTATAGCTGCTGCCTTCTTCGCATTCGCCCGTTCGGCCCGGCGCGTGGTCGCTGATTTTGCCGTCGTTTCAACTGGAAGGCTGCCCCGCTGGAGATGCAGGATGCTGCCTTTTCGCCTTCCCAATCTTTGCGAGGCTGGGGGCCGCAGTTGTGTGCATAATCCAGGCTGCAAGGGATGTGGGTCATGAGACTCCAGGTAGCCTTTGCCAGTCCCTGGCAACATGTCTTGGCCAAGTGCCCACCGAGGTGATCGAATTGGGACTTCCGTGGCAGGCTTTTGCCTGTGCCTGACAGTGATCTTCCAAAAGGTTGCGTTTCTGCCAGGCGCGGTGCTGCGAAGTGAAACTGTCGCTGTTGTGAGCATGACGGCAGTGCGACCGGTGTATTGTCGGAGAGCACGCCTTGAATCTTCGGAAGCGGGACGGCCACTACGCATCGCGAGGCGCGGGCCACATAGTCAGCGCGCTCGCGCATTTTGGTCGCCTTCTCACCGCGTCGTGCTCCAGCCGAGTGGTGGTACCGCCCTGTCGTGAGGCGGCGCCGCAGGTGCACTTGCGGGTGCAGGCCCGCGGGCTGCGGGGTCGCTGATCCTGTGGACCTGTGCTCCCCGAGCGGTGGCTGCTCTGTGGTGTGCCTCCGTGGACCTGGGTTGTGATGTTCGGGCGCTCGGCGTCCCGTTTCCGCGCTTTGTGCGCTCTTTGCTGGCCTTGTGCTGGGTTGCCGATCGTCCCTACCCCTGTCGTGGGCCCGGGCATGATCACCTGGATGGCGCTCCCTCCCTGTTCTCTCCCCCTCCACGGCCCCCCCTCCCCAACCCTCCCTGACTGCGTCCTGGGCGCTCCCGGCGCTGCGCGGCCAGGCACCCGCTGTCCACTGGCGGCGCCTGGGTGCGCGATCATCGGCAAGGCTGGTTGGGGGAGGCGCCAGCGCGGCGCGTGGGGTCGACGACGGCGTCCCGCCCGCCTTCAAATTTGGACCACGACGTCTTTTGCTTGACTGCAAGCTTGACGCCCCCCCCGACAGAATGTAAGAAAAACCGTCCAGGCGGCCTTCAGTGCCAGATCGGGCGCGGACCAACATTTTCTTTGATTCTGGGCCTGGGGCGGTGGGACAGATAAGCTATCCCAGTGCTCCGTGTCCCTATGCACACAAGGTTGGGGAACACCAGCGCAGCCGTCGTGCAGGATCGGCCAGCAAGGGCTTCCAACAATTTAACGCAGGACCCGGGCGCATGCCACACCACCGTGCGGAGGGCTCCTGTCTGCGTCTTGGCCATCTGGCCAACTAGTGCGACTTGTGCAGATCTGGTCTGTCTTCTTCGCAGACTTTGCTGTACTCTTGGGTGCGTTTCAAGTGTCGCCGGGTCGGCGCTGTCAGGTGGCGCCAGCCACTCTTTCCTTCTCGCAGGCAGGTCTGAGGACAAGAAACTTTGCCTGGTGCCTTCATCGGGTCCCTGGTGGTGCGTGCTGTCGTGTGCCTCCGGCTTGTGTCGATATCCACCCTCGTGTCTGCTGACGTGGCTGTCCTTTTGCCTCAGCGCAAATGTTTTTAGCTCACGGGGTCGGAGAAATTTTGTTTGCCCCCACCCCGCCCCCCTCGCAGTCCCGCAGTATCGAAGCGCACAGGCGCTGCTGGCTCTTGCTTGGCTTGCGCTAGCCTGTTCTTGTGCCGCGCTTGGCGCATTTTTTATATCCCGACGGGTAAC